ATACCATGACACACAAGGATTTACCAGCAGGAGCTAAGGAGGCTTTATCCGCAGTAGTGTCACAGCCAATTGCTTCCACATCATATGACACTGCTGTGGCTAAATAGCCCATTTTCCTTAGATCCAGGATGTCCTTCCTGCATGGTACATATGTGTAAATGGAGAAAATTAAGAAAGGCAAATGCAGGCCAAATGACAAGAAATACCATCTTGATAGAAAGCTTCATAGTTCCTCAAAAGCTCTCCCAAGGGAAACAGAAGAACTTTCCCAGCTTGGGAACATAAACAGGTAGAATTCTTCTTAGGAGAAACTTGACATGCTCACTTCATAGCAGTAACTAGGAATGACAATTATAGACTCAAGTTTTGATTGCACCCATTACTGGCAAAAGAAATCATAGGTAAGTAGTTCTTCCTAAAGAGTATATAAACATGCAGATATAAAAAAGCTAGATGCATTTCAGTTGGGAGTAATAAAACTGGGCACTTCATATACTTCTCAGTGTTTCTTAAAACAGCAATAAAGTTTTTTTTTTAAGATGTCATCATCCATCTGGCCTTCAGTGTGCATTTGTAAGGTAACAACTGAACTGCAGTTCACTGCTACAGGAAATTCCTTATTGTACAGTCACTGCTGAGAGTCTGATTCTGCGATGAAGTAAAAAATAATTTTACCATAGATTTCAACAGTCACATGACAGCACTTAATACTGCGGTCACATGAAAGAAAAGTACTGCTTTGGTTAAAAAATAAAGATCCCACCTGTCAACCACAGACTTGACTCATCTATTCTAAAGAATCAGACTGATGACACAAGTTAAAAGACCAAAACTTTGAGAAGAATTTGCCTTTGTCATTTATAAATGCTGAAACTTTGAGGAATCCTTGAGATTCCAAGAAGAGTAGTTTAGGACATCTATAGCTCTGAAAAATATACCTGCAGGCTAATAAATAACCTGTTACTGGCAAAGACAGTCCTGTCAAAGTCAAGAGAATAACTATTACAGCAAGCTAATTTGAAAGGAAAATCATATTATATATGCTCAATTTGAAAATGCTGCACTTTCCGTTTTGTAAATCTTTAACATTACATGATCTAACGGGGGAAAGAACCTTGCTTCCCAACACAAGACTAGAGCAATTGCTTAAGATTTCTGCAAATGTAGTAACATGATACACGCTACCACTAACAAAATCCACACATGCAAATGAGATAAAAGGAAGCAAACACACTCATGAAACAGCTCAAGTAGCAAAAATTCTAGTCAGAATAATTCTTCAAAACATTGCCCTCCTCCCTGAAGTTGAAAAAAAAAAGAATGACCCTTTCTTACCCTTGTAACATGCTTTGAAAATGAAGTTTAAAAATTATTTTATTATGACAATACAACACTTGGTATCTCTTGTCATGACTTTCTTAACAGAGTAAGGAAGTAAGGAAACATACGTAGCACTTACTGAACTCTATTCAAAAGGTGTTTTCCCCTTCCTGAATACTGTGTTCCTGCTCTTCTTTCAGAATAATACTTCCACACCTCTTTCTATCATCAGTGCTGAATATCTATGGTCCTAGGCCTGTTCTCTCTCTGCAGTAACCTGCAAAACCATTTGAATTCCATAGGAGTAGAAATACGTTCTCTCATAAGTTAAATGATTCCAGACTCACCAATTTATTTTCACCTTTGAAACACTTTCTCTGTGGCTTGTTTTCCCTCCCCATTTTCTTTTTCTGAAGGAAGACAAGCCATGGATTTTCCTTTAGTCAGATCAACGTTCAGACCATGGCAATGAATTAGAAAACAGGGTTTTTCGAGGTATAAACCACAGCACGCCTGTGGTACGGAGGCAAAGGCTTTACCAAGCCGTGTTTAGCCATTTGTGTAACTCGGCCCATTGCAGGAGGCCTTCGGGGCTCCCGGAGCTGCAGCCTTGTTTTAAGGCGGCTTGCTCATTCTGCACGTTTGTTTTGCCATGGAAATCTCGCGCACACTGGAAGAGGAAATCGATTTTGTAGCAACACCTTCAAACAGGCTAAGAGGCTTTGCAAACGCCGTGTCCCCTGTCGCAAATACATCACAAGGAGCAGTTAAAGCCCGACACCCAAACCAAGTTCTGCCCCCGGTGACCTTCCCGGGCGTCGGCTGACAGGACCAGCCAGGGCGCTGCCCCCGGGAGCTGCCGCTGCCCGCACCCCAAACACCAGCAGCACGCAGGTACTACAGCCCCACGGGCTCCGCCTCCGGCCCGGCGGCTCCCGCACAGCCCGCGGCCCCCGGCCCCGCACATCGCCCCGCGCACCCCGCGGCCCGGCCCAGACCGCGCACCTGCCGCCCGGCCCCGGCTCCGCTCCGCCCCAGTACGGGGACAAAGCGGCCACAACGCACCTGTTCCCGCGGCGGGGGCGGCGGCAGAGGCTCCAGCCCTGCCCGCCCCCATCCCTACACCCACCGGATCCCTCCCCGAACCGACCGTCCTGCCTGCTCCGGGCCAGGTGAGGTGCTGCGGCGTCCCGGGGGCTCCCTCCGACACGGGGGACTCTGCGCCCCCCGCATTCGCCGAGGGAAACAAACTCCGGCCGGCTCTGGCCGCCGCTGCCCGCCGGGCGGATCCGCGCTGTAAACAGGCCGGAGGGCGGCACAGGCGCCGGCCGCCCTCGCCCCAGCACCGGCGCTCGCCCAGCACCGGCGCTCGCCCCGCCGTGCCCCGCGCTCACCGTAGAGATGAGCGGAGGCTTCGCCCTTCCTCGCCATCGTCTCCCGGTGCCCTCCGCGCCGGCACCGCCGGGGTACAGCCAGGGGCCCGGCGCCTCCGCCCGCCGCTCAGCGCGTTCTTTGTTGCCGTGAAGGCATGAGAGGCGGCGGCGGCCGGGCAGCCTCCCGCTCCACTCGGCTCCGCTCCGCCCCGCTCCGCCGCGGCCGCCCGCAGCACCGCCCGCACCCACCCTCCCGTCCCGCCGGCTCCGCCGCGACGCCTGCGCCGACCCGCGGGGGCGGTGCCGGTGCCCGGGCCGCGGGAAGGGGGGCGGGCGAGGGGCGCCGGGACGGGCCGCGCCTCGCCAACTTCGCCTGGGCCCGGCGGCAACTTCGGCATCCGGCGGGGCTGTACCTGGCGGGCCGGTGTCCATCCTCCCGCACCAACCGCCGGTGTCCGCAGCCGGGTGCGCTGCCCGCCTGTGCCCGTGCCCTGCGCAGAGCCCGGAGGTGTTGCCGCTGGTGGGAAGCGGCCGGCCGGCCCTGGGGCCGCTTGCCGTCCTCCTGGGCCCCGCCGGGAAGCGCCTCCCTTGGCGGAGCTGTCCGTGCCGCCCGTGCTGAGCGCCGGGCGGGCGGCGGCCTCGTGCCCGGGCGACCAGTTGCACGGGCCCCCGGGGCTGGGGAAGGGCGAAGCGCTCGGGTTTGACCACCGACAGCCGCGCGTCTGCCTCCCGGCGGGGGGAAACGTGTTGTTTCGGGCTGGGGGCATTTTCATGGCTCAGTCAGAAAACAGTTTCAGTCCTGTCAAATACAGATTTCTGGTCGTAAACTTTCCTTCAGTTGACATCCACCTCCCTTTGTTTTATCTGAGTGGGGTAATAGCCACTTAGGAGCAATTAGTCTGATTGCTGAGTTTCTTTCACAGTTTTGACAGCACAAATCATTACTACAGCAAAGGACACTGTATTCAGATGTCACGTTGCCATTAGTCTGTTGTCACTAAGTAAAACACAGGTAACATTTTGTATTATTACTGTAACATATTGTAACATATTGTATTATTACACATAACAGTATTCTGAAATGACAGAGGTGCACCTCTAGGCCATCATTTACATTTTCAGATATGAGCAGTTTGAGAAAAAGTTACTTTCCAAGGCTTGCAAATAAAGGTACCCTTTCAAAAGTTGGCTTAAGACCCTCAAAAGCACGATTCTTTTATTTATGAGTAAATTAACGTGCACAGACCATGGAGGTTGCTGCTATGCTTGTATTGAAACGTAAACCAATCATATATGCGTTAGTGAGGGTATGTGCCTCCTACAAAGTCAGTATATCATCAGGTCTTGCAGTGCTCACTGCCTTGGCAAGTTACAAGAAAACTAAATCAGGCATATGTAGCACTTTATCCATCCTTCCAGAGGTCTCAGCCCAGGCCAATTGCTCTAATAATTACTGAATTTCACATCTGCAGTTTCATCTGCTAATAAAGGAAGTACTCTTCTTCCCCCTCCTCCTCCTTAAATTGTGAGAGTTTATACTTTGAAATAGAATTTTTTTTTATATTTTAAAATGAGTACTTGCTTCATCTAGTCATCCCAGTTCATCAGAATATTACCTGGGTAGAGATTTAAGATTCTGTGCACTGCTGGTGGTTTGCAAATTTAATGAGAGTTCTTTCTTAACCTAGTCCCCCTATCCTCTTAAGCCACATACTTAGCCTAGCTACCTAAGATGTGTGTTTCCACCTCATGGAAAATGGATGACACACTTCACTATCTAAGAAGAAATCCTAATTTCATCTCAGTGATGATGATGAGGAGAACAATTCAGACAATCTCACCTATAGAAGAAAGAACTTCTTGTGTCTAAGACTGAGTCAAACATGAGAAAAGCAGCATAGGACAGCTTTGTAAGAAGGAAGGAGGTTTGTTAATGCCTTCTGGCTCGTTCAGATAAGGCATAGCAACCTAAAGGCAGCAGGGCATGACCAGAGTTGCTAGTCAGAGCTGATGTAGCATTCTCAGGGAAGCTTCAGTATTGTTCTACAGCTCCATGTTCTTCTGTTCCCCTTGTGCAGAGGGATGTATCTATACATAGCCTATGGTCAAGAATAAACATTGGAATCTCAACAGTAAAAAAACCATAGGTAATAGAGTTTGTATAGCCTGTTCTACAAATAAATATATCAGATATCAGAGATATCACATACTAGATATACAGTATATACATTATATGTAATACACAGCATATACAATGACTTAATTGTGTCTATATTATTGTGCATATATTATACAGTCTCTATATTATAGTATTTATATTATTTATTATATATTGTATTTAACGTATGTTATATTTAACATATATGCTCTATATATATCCTAAAGCATATGTTGTATTTAACAGAAGATAGATTGAAATAGACAGATAGATAGACAGATGATAGAGAGAGAGATAGAGAGATGTAGGGCTATGACTAACAACCAGAGATAAGGTTTTGCTTACACAGCACTTCCAAGTTCTGGCAACAAAAAAATACTCACATGCACTCTAGCAAAGTTTTTTTTTTTTCTTTCTTTCTTTTCATTAGGCTTTATAGAACAACATAAAATTATTGTTAACAATAAGAAGTTAATGTAGAATTCTGCAGGAGAGGAAGTAACTTTTGACTTGGTTCTAACTACCAGAACCAAGGAATAACTTAAAAATCCACTAAACTAAAATAGAAAACTTGCTAAAAAGAATACAGAAGGTTAGACTAGTGCTAAAAACTACAAAACAGTTATTCAGATACATAGAAGGTTATGTAAGGAGACCACTTTCAGAGACAGCCCATCATCTTTGTATATTCATGTTTCTCAGAAGGGCCTGAGAAATGGCAAAAGGAAGTCAGCATGACTATATAGAATAAAAAGGACAGTAGCTACAAACAAGGAGGAATATTTTGATAGATTAAAGTTGTGTTCAAATTACTAAATTATAAAGGATCACAAACTTTGGCAGGTTAAGTGTGAAAGCACAGGAAGGCAGACCAAAAAAGAGTTTAAGCATTAATTTGCAAAAAGTGTAGATGCTAAAAAGAATTCCTTTTTTTTAAAGGCCAAGAGGAGGAAGAGAATATGTAGAGCCAGTATTTTCTTTAAGCCTTGTATGCATATATAGACTTGAAGGTGATAAACATTTTCAACATTTTTGAAAAGACTTCTGATGAAAATCCAGAAAACTGCAGATCCATTGGAGACCTCCCAAGGAGTTGGCAGACACAAAAATGAGGGAATACAGCTGATCTTCAGGTTATTTGGATTTCTGAAAACATTCCAGAAGGTTCCTCATCAAAAAGTTTTGAATAAAATAAGCCACCATAGAGGGAAAAGAAAAAGTCCTTTTATGGCTAAAAAATGTCAGAGGGTGTTAGGAGGGTCTGTCACTTCTTGCAGCTCCAGGACCCCTCCTGCCCAGCTGCTGGAGCCCAGGGATGCTGGAGCCGGGGATGCAGGGTCCCTGCCCAGGCAGGGGGACAGGGCTGCCACCTTCCCATGTGCAGGCCCAGCCAGTCGTGCAGCTGAGCACATGTCCTAGAGACACACACAGGGGACGCTGACTCGGCCACGCGCAGTGCCAGTGACAAGGCACCTACAACAGCACCTCCACACAGACCCACCCTCAGCTCCAGAACAGAGCACAGGCAGCCACATCCTCTCCTCCTCTTGTGCTGGCAGAGACAAAAGATGACTAGTGCAGGCACATGCACGAGACTCCTTGGATGCCCAAGCACATGCACATTTGCCCAGCAAACCTGCCCAGATCCCAGCCTCTTCCCTGCCTCAGGAGTGCCGACTTCCTGGCTGGTCCAGCTTGATGCTTGCTGCATCACCCCACAGGCCCTCCACACTCTAGAGCACCACAGAAAATTCAAGTTGCTTTTCATTTCTAAAAGGAAGGTTCATTAACAAATGGTAAATTACTGTTCGTTGTTAGCAATTTAAAAAAAACAACCTGTAAACCAGTCATAATTAGTAATAAAACATAACGCTTCACCCTAGAATACAGATGCTAACTTTAAGGGATGAGCCTTCTGGTTCCAGCCAGGACAGTGTTAATGTTTGCAGTAGCCAAGAGGGCCATGACCGCTGGGGTGGGGGGAAGGAGGAAATGAGGTTCAGGGGTTTCTTCTGGTTGGGATGGTGTGGCTGGATCAGGCAGGCTCTTTGGTGAGCACTTGCATGTGAATCACTCTCCTCTTTCTTGTACACTTTTGTCATTAATATTGTTGCTGTTTGTTTTCTTATGTCATTGCTGTTTCCAGTAAATTGTTCTTATCTCAGTCCACGATCTTTACCTTTTGTGCCTCCAATTCTCCTCTCCATCCACAGGGGAAGGGGAAGGGAGAGGAGGGAGTGGTGCATGGTTTCGGTGGGAGAGTAGCATTCCTAAACCATGACAATGAGATGCACTTTGTAATGTAATAATCTTACTGTGTTTACTTGCTGATTTATACACATCAGCAATAAGCAACATGCATTCTGCTGGTTAGTATATAAGAGAGTCTTCTAGGTTAATAAAGCAATAAACTGTGCAGTATACAATTTTTAGTGTAGTAAATGTGATCAGAGGAATACTAAATAAGAAATGTGACACAGTGGTGTTTGAGAAAATAAAAAAGAAAGACAGATACTGTATTTCTTGCTGCTGTGAAAAATGCCAAAAATACACCTTACAGAAACTTCTATCTATTGTCACTCCTTATGTAAATAATTTTGAACCTCACAGTTCAACTGGTTTAGGCTTTGACAGATAACCTTGCCATCTTTCATACCCCTCTGTTCCTAAAATCTTAGTAGACATGGACCACCTGGGCTTTGAATTTTCCTCTCCAGACTGGCTTGGTGAAAATTATGTTGACAACACATTGCCAAAAAAGTTCTCATTCATTTATCCAAGGAGATGTAAAGAGAGGCAGTGAGAAAATAGTTTGAAGGAGTGGGGGAAGGTGAGCAAGGGTGTAGCTTCATAAGGGCAAGCTGCGTTAAACAGTGACCTTAATGAGCAGTTGGTTCTTGTACCTTACCCCAGATGCTCCTGTAATTTAGCAGAGGTGTCCCTGAATACCTTTGTCTTGGCTCCATGCATTCTTTCCTTCCTTTTTCTGGAACTTCCATTCTTTAATCTCTACAACACTGCAAGAGATCACAGATAGTTAAGTGGCTTTTTAATACGAAAGCTTGCTTCCAGAAAGTACAGACATCTGTCTTCAGAGGCAAGTAGCAAATTTCATATGCAAAGATGCTTCTAGTGTAAGGTAAACCTTGAAAATGGCAAATATTACCGTGTATTCCTGACTCAATTTCCTCAACTGGACAGTTTCAGACAACAACCTTCCCAGACTCTGTCTACATGAGCAGTTCAGTTCAGATCAGGAGTGTAGTTCTGAGGTGAGTTTCCCAGTTGTCCCCACTTAGTGTGCCTCACTGGATTCACAGAGATATTTCAAAGCACATGAATTGATTTTTGGATTAAATTTACTGGAAGACATGATCTAGGAGGAGTGCATCCAATGTGTTCCAACCACTTAATAGGGGGCACTCTGTCAAGCCTGAAGTAAAACCCCTTAAAATGTTTATCAGGTCTATACAACCATTTCACTCTATAAACCCAACAGTATTCATTACTTCCTGATGTCACCATTCCCTCAGCGTACTGATTTATTCAGCCTCCCTGCCTTAGGGATGTCCTCAACTCCATTCCAAGCTGTCTCTTCACCTCAGTGCAAAAAAGAGCTTATTTACCTACTAAAGGGCTATGGATCCTAATCTCAAAGGCATCTAGAAATAATATCTAATTTCTGAGCACTGTAGTATTTAAATCACTTCCGGCAGCTAGTAAATACACTTAGTGTATAACATCCTTATCAGTCAGCTGGGGTTATCAGTCACCCTATTCCTGATACACCTCCAAAACATGAGTTTATGATTCCCTGAGGCGCAAATTACAGTAAAACAGCTCACAGGAGCTCTTCTGCTAACAGGTGGATGATGTAGGTGCTTGGAGCCAGTCCGCGAGACTCGGCACACAGACAGCAAAGCGGCCGAGCCTGGGGCCGCCTTCCTTTCGGCCTCAGAAAGTGAAACACAGACCCTGCCCGTGTTGGTGCGGGTGGGCCGCTCGCTCCCTCCTCGCCCCCGAGCCGGGCCGGCCGCAGGACGGAGCAGTGCCCGTTCTCCCCGTCAGCGGGGCGGTCCGGCCCGGGCCCGGCCTCCCCCGGCTCGGCGGGCGGCCCGCGCGGCACCGCCCCGGCCTCCCGAGCCCCGCCCCGCCGGAGCCGCCGGAACCCCGCCGAGATGGCTGCGCTGAGGGCGACCCGGGTGAGTGTCCGGCCCGAGTGAGCGCTCGGAGGACACGAGGTCCGGAGAGAAGAGGCGGCCGGGCCGGACCGAGGCGCTGCCGGCGCCGGCGGGCGGGGTCCCGGGCGGCAGGGAAGGGCCGCGGGCCGAGGGAGGGCGAAGGACGGAAGCGGCGGGGCCAGCCCGGGTTCCGCCGCCGGGACAGCTGCGGGCACAGGGGCAGCCCGGAGGGCAGAACCGGCGAGGCTGCGACCCCTCTGCTGTGTTGCTTTTCCTGCCTCGCAGTATTATCCGAGAGTTTATGGCCGTAATCCTCACGGTCCGAGTGGGTGTTGCCATCGGCTGTTCTCGGCGGAGTTGCTGCACAGCCCTGGGGCTTCTCATGGGCCAAAGGCCGCACCGTGCCCAGTCTTTGGAAAAGCCCTGTGTATGTCTGGCACCTCCCACGTACCGGGGGTGACGGCTTCAAAACACCGGGGGTTATAGTTCGGGGTATTTTATCCTTTAGCATACTTAGCTGTACTACCTATGCTATTTTTTTTAAATATGTGTGATGTATAATAGTTGGTTTTCTGAAGTACAAACTTTCTCCTATATTGAACCACCAATAATCCCACAGCTTCAAAGTAGAAAATAAAAAGTATTCAAAACTCGCATATTACCTGACACGTTACCCCAGCAACAAACTGCTCTTGGCAACTCTTCATTTTTATTCTGAGATATGTGAGGGAGGATCAAGGTTGGTGACCCTTAGCTTGTTCTGTCATTTTCTGTAATGTGCATCTTGTCAAACAGGTTCCATAGTTCTTTTGGCATTAAGGTAATAAAGATTGCATCACTTCCATGCATAGTCTTGTCATACCCTTTTCCTGACAGCACATTATTCCAGTGTTAGTTTTACCACGTTGACAATCATATTTGTGATTCTCACAGTTCCTGCAAAAGTGCAAGGAAATGCAGTAGGAATTGCATCTAAGCATCCCTAGCAGTAGTTTGTCACTGAATGTAACTGTTCCTCAGAGTCAAGCAATAGGAAGGTTGACTAAGTAGACAGATAATCATACAAATTCTTACATGTAGGAAACCCTGATACTTTGTCACTTGATCAGTCATGCAACTTCCAGCTGTATATCCCACCTATTCGTATTTCAGTGTTTGGTGGGATTGCGGAGTTTTTCCAAAGTAACCTGTAGTCCTTGTCTTGTAGAGTTCCTAGTAAAATTTCTGTGGTATTCTTTTGCATTACTATCATTAATTAATTTTTTTAAATGTTATGAAATAAGTGATTGGTCTGATCACACTTTTAAAAAAATTTTCTACATTTTCACATAAGAAAATCAAGAACAAGCCTTTTCTTAGTGTTTAGGCTAATTTTTTGGTTTTGTAGTATTAATTCGGGTCTTCCTAAAAATTTATCCAATTACATATTTTTCACTAATTTCTAAACATTTCAGAGATTTATAACTCTTGAAGAGAGTAAACCAACCTTTTAAAATTAAATTTGGACATGTTTTTGCACAATATTAAGACATTCTGAAAGCAGCTGTAACAACAATATTTGTGGGTACTAAACTTCAAAAAGCAAAGAAAGTATTTACAATGAAAAAGAATAAATTTGTGATTAGTATTAGGAAGGAAAATAAACTTCAGATAATCTGCTGTGTTGTTCTCTCCCATCTGGAGTATAATAACAATAATCACCAAGTGTCCATGGCACCAGCTTATAAAAGAAAGCAGAGATGAGTCTGGGACATTATCAGAATATTCTGATATATTGGTTAATAGGTAGGGTGTTTTTTGCTAATGGGTAGATAGGATATTCAGCAGAGGGCCAGAAAAACAAGTTTGATGTGTGTGTGTATAAATGAAAGAAATATATATTGCTATGTCTCTGTGAACATAAATTTTAATCATGCTTAACTATTTTAAAATAATCAAATGCACAATAGTTAAAAATGTATAGGGCAGCTCACCCGCCCTCGGGGCTGTTAAAGCCTGAGAATCCTGGCAGAGTGTCACAGGAGCAAAACACAAGCCAGCCAATAATTCTTTTATCACTGTAGTAAATTATATTTGATCTGATACTGTTTCTAGAGAGGGAGTCTACATTAAAAGTTGTGCTGCAGGCAGGTAAGTAGCTTTAGGAGACTTGAGCTGTAAAGATCTTACACCTTATGTTCTTTTCTTCTTTAGCAAGTGCTTCAAACCATTGCAGGACATGGATGGAGGTCACATTCTAGTAAACCTGCTCAAAACTTACATATAGGCAAACCTGGAGCTGGCTTTAGCTTTGGTAAGTAGTACAGTTGTTAAAGAAATATAGCAATTATGGACAAATTGCAGATTTAAAAAGAATAATATCCTATATTGCACTTCACCATGAACTTAAAATGGTGTTTATCCTAAATAGATTTCTATTAATAAAAAAGTTTGAAAACCAAAATTACTTTTGTCCTCAGCTCAGGCAAGGCAGGTATGTGTGTAGTGTTTTTAAGAGTTTCTTCTTTTTTTAATTCATGTCTCTCCTTTTTTTATTGCCAAAGTGTCTTAGCTTTGAATAATTATCTCATATTGTTGTTTGCAGTGTTAAGGTACCTAAATATAGTCATAGTTGAACTTCATTATAAAGAAATGTAAGAAAGAAAATTCATCCTCAGTTTGGCATATTATATACATAAAGCAAATTTAGTAGGTCAGAGCTAGGTGTTTGAAACTGAAGAGTCAGGATCTCTGGATGACCTCTGTCTCTATTTAATTAACACAGCATTTTTCTTGTTTCTTTTGGTAATACATTTTATGTTACACAGTCCTCTTCATTTTCAATATTTTGTGGATAATTTCATCAGATGCAAGCAAGTGCATTGTAGGTTGCAGATGAGAGAACAATGGAGGTTTTCTCCTAGGAAGAAGAGGAAACAGTTTTTTCACTTTCTGGACAGCCCCAAAAAGTGGTGGTTTGGGTTGTCCTGGAAGGACGCTCTTATTTTCTCTTTTATCATAGTTCGACAACAGGTAAAATTAAAGACAGTAGAGAATTTGTGATTTTTTTTCTTTTTTTTAAAATAGAACTTACTGACGAACAGAAGGAGTTTCAAGCTACAGCTCGTAAATTTGCTGTGGAAGAAATTATTCCTGTTGCTGCACAATATGACAAAAGCGGAGAGGTAAATCTACCATAGTGTAAGGGAAAAATTGGACAAAACCAGACTTTTAGCTTAACCTTTAAAATTTAAAGTTTTGATTGTGGTGACTCAGAACGTGATTTTTCCATGTCTATTTCAGTATCCCGTGCCACTTATAAAAAGGGCTTGGGAACTTGGTCTTATGAATTCACACATACCAGAAAGCTGTGGTAAGTAAACATTCTTTTTAATCTGTAAAATGCAACAACGAGAAGACATTAGATGAGATTTATATGTGTAATTATGGATTCTGTATCAAATAAATAGTTGCATACTTGAATAATCTAAATTTAATCAGTAGGCAGGTTGACACATAAAAGTGTTACTAGATGTGGATGTAATCAGGAGACAAATTAGACAGATTATGGTTTAGTAATTTATGACCAGATTTTTCTACCGTGATTACAGCTGTCTAATGTTCCCCTGGTGCACTGTGTCAGCTGATTAGGCAGAGAAATTAGAAGGTCATGTTTTGTTCTAGTCCCTGACACAGGCTGGAGCAACTGAAGAGTTTATCCCAGGAGGACAGCTTTTCAGTTTAAGTTAGGTGCAGTACAGCAGAGCTTTGGCAGTGTTTAGGTATATGAGTAACACAGACAAGCATGACATGCTAGAGAAGGGTTTTAATTAAAGGAAGTCATGTCTCAAAAATCATTGGAGTTCTCTGAAGTAGCTAATAAGTGTGTGAACAAGGGATCCCTGGTTGATAAAGAATACTTGAATTTCCAAAATAAGTTTTAAAAATCATCAGGTTTCATATTGGAAAGATTAGTAGTGCAGCCTTGCTGGGTCTTGTGTGCTGTCTGGGATGTCTATAAATAAACAGAAAAAGGGGATCAACACAAAGGCGATAGAGTTTGCTGATAATACTAAGTTACTCAATGTAAAAAAAGATGAGACTGGTGCAGAGAGCTGCAGGAGAAGACCTTGAAATAGAGAGCCAGTTAAAATGGCAATGCAATTCCAAAAAGGAAAAGTGATGCACATGTGAAGGGAAAGAAGCAAGAAAAATGGTATCCTCTGCACTAGTTACTGCCTCTCAAAAAAGACATTAACTATCATAAATAGTTAATGTATAGTATAATGCTCAGAAGTGGTCAAAATAAAATTTAAAGTCAAAAGGGACCCTTAAGAGAATGAAGAAAAATGCAGAAGGCACAATTATGCTGCTGCCCAAATCCAAATTGCACTTACCTTTTTAATTCATTATATAGTCAAATCCTTCCATCTCAAAAGAGTATTGGGGAAATGGAAAAGGTTTCTAAAAGGATGAACAAAGATTATAAAAGTTGTGTCTTCTCTGTGAGATGCAGATTCTATAGGAGAAATTACTAAAATGTCAAGTGCATGGATAGTGTGAAAAGGGATTCATAGTTGACTGTCCCTTTCAACATAACTAGAAGGCATCAAATTATGTCATCAGAGAAAAGTTTCAAAACAAATGAAAGGTGTTGGTTCTACATGCAGTGTGTAATTAATTTGCAAAACTTACTGCCCCTGTAGGATATTAGTGGTAAAATTTAAATAGATTCAAAAAGAGACTGGACAAATTAATGTAATAAATATCTGTCATGGGTTAGCATAACAAAGATACCAAAGAGAGGTATTTCTTTGACTGAGGAAGTCACCTGAAGGCTCAGGAAAATATTTTTGAGGAAGTGTAGTTGTTACTGTATTTGTATGTACTTCCCATAGTGTTGGCTTCTGTCAGAAACAGATTACTGAGTTGGCTATCTACTAATATGGACACTTTATAAATTTTTTATTCCCAAATGCTGTGGGCTCAGGAGCCCTTTCTCTGCTTCCTAGGAACTCTTAATTCTCAAGTGTACAGTAATAAAAAAATTAAAGTGGTACGTTCTTGCCACTTTGTGCAACTTGTCCCACATTAATCAAACAATAACCCTGGAACCATGATGTGTAATTTTCAAATCACCTGTTACTCTTCTGACAAAGCTTTATTTAAAAAGCTGATGTTAGAATGTGTAATCAAACATGGTACACAATCAAATGTATGTGAGGGGGATACATTTTTGTTAATCATGTTGTGTAAATCACTAATATTGATATGTTATGATTTAAATCTACTTGAGTAAATGAAATGTTTCACCTGTAGGTGGCCTTGGCCTCGGCACTTTTGAAGCCTGCCTTATTACAGAGGAGTTGGCCTATGGATGTACAGGGGTTCAAACTGCCATTGAAGCAAACTCCCTAGGGGTAAGCTCTGTATTTTCTTACATCCCTTAAACTACAGTCTGTGCACTTGAAAAACCTGGATTAATGGTCTAAATATTTTCTTTCAGCAAATGCCAGTTATCATTGCAGGAAATGAGCATCAGCAGAAAAAATACTTAGGAAGAATGACAGAGGAACCAATCATGTGTGTGAGTATAACTGCTACACTGTAAAATGTTCCTGAATCTAATAATATTACTTCTTTCTTTTTTTTCCTTTTTTTTCCTCATTTTTTTGCCTTCCCCCCCCCCCAGAAAACACATACATGTACACACAACTTAGCCCTTTTTGATTTGTAAACAGTGACATTTACTGAAAGACAGCAAATATCTAATGAGATACATGCAATAAGCAAATAGAAGATATTACTTGGAAAATCAACCCCAACCTAAGTCACTTACCAAAAATTACTACCTTTTATTTCCATTTCAAGAGGGGGTGTAGGCATTTAAGACACTAAACTTGGATGGGAATGAAACTGGGAATTTATGATCTTAAGTGTTACATAAGCAGTACTCGTTACATAGAAAGAAGAGTCATGTACAATGTATGGAAATCTGTACAACTAAGCCTCCTAAAATTAAGGACTTGGTAAACATAAAATGTTACTCAGTGCTCTTATTTTCAGATTTAAAGATCTTCAGCTTTCCAATCAGAATTTTTGAAGCCTGAAGAAGTAATAACTTAAGGGTTACAGAATGTTTCTGTTTGATTAAAAGACAATTTTACGTATCATTATGGATTTATAAAGGAAATTAACCCTTATATGTTTGAATTCTTGCTCAGACAGCTGCTGGGGGGGGTTGTGTTGGGTTGTTTTGGGGTTTTATTGGGGGTTTTTGTTTATGCAACGTTTTGGGTTTTACCATGCAGTTCACTTAAACCTTTTATAGATAATTTGATGCACATAGTCTGCATTAATTTGTGGTTGCCTAAAACCAGAACTTTTATTTCACATTTTAATTTCTTTCAGGCCTACTGTGTAACAGAGCCTGGAGCAGGCTCTGATGTGGCTGGTATAAAAACAAAGGCTGAGAAGAAAGGAGATGAGTATGTTATTAATGGTCAGAAGATGTGGATCACAAATGGGGGGAAAGCAAACTGGTATGTTAACAATTAACTGGTGTCATAGGTTTTTGTTGTTATATAGTGGCTTTACCCTCTGCCCCCAGTTAAATTATTTAAAGACCTGATATAAATCTGAATGTTCATTGTATTTCAGCAGACTGTGTTTTAATCTCTGACCAGTTTATCAGGATAGCAAATACAAATGCAATCTTGAGTGTTGCACACAGCCTAAAAAGGAAAATGAGTGATGACATGACAACTCCACACTCAAGAATGGCCTCTTGAATCTTGCTGCTATGAAAATTAAATCTGACTCTACTAGAAACACCTCTTACTCCTAGTGAAGCTAGAAACACTGTTACATTGTGGTGTTACTTTTTATTTTATGAAAAGAAGACATTTTTCATCTGTCAGAGATTCCAAATATTGTTGTGTTTGTGGAGCATGCTTTTACAATATAAACCTCTTACATCATGTCTCATATCACACTGATTCACAACACAGAAATTTTCCTTAATTCAAGTGGAAAAAACTTTATACATTTATCCAAAAGCTGAATTTTCTAGTAATTTACTTCATCGTTGAAGGCAGATCCATCAAAGACAATCTACCAGGTATCTTTTGACATTACTGAATACCATAAATATGATTTACACCTGTTTAATTTCTAAGATAAATACTTATTTACAATTTACACTTAGAAGAATAAAATCAAGACATCTGAAATCAGATGATAACATTTTACATCCAAGAATGTATTTCCTAAGCATTAATTTTTATGTACATGCTGTGAATAGGTTTCTTTTGTACTATTTGTGAAACTGGTAATACCATAAAGACTTAGAATACATGGAAAGGGTAGAGAATCTTTGCATGTTGATCTGAAGTAATTTTATTAAATGTTATTAAATACTGAATCTTTGAGACTTCCACTCTCTGGCTCCCTCTCAGTTTATTTTTAGAATGGGCAAGGAATATAGTTTGTTAACTTACACTCAGAATTTATTATGTGGTATAAACATGCATAAAAACATTTAAAATATTACCTAAATATATCTTGTTGTTAACTGTGAGGATAAACTGCATCCATCTTCTTTGGTTTACACTAGGTATTTTTTGCTAGCACGTACCGATCCAGATCCAAAAACTCCTGCAAGCAAAGCCTTTACTGGATTCATTGTGGAAGCAGATAGTCCTGGGATCCAAATTGGAAGAAAGGTGAAGACTATTTCTTATTTGACAAGTTAGGAATTATTGTTTGGTTCTAAACCAGTAATGAAACAAACGTACCACTCAAGAGAAAAGACTGTTACACAACTGCACATTTTCATGTGCTCATTTACAACCATCTTTTCATTTTCACAACATGCAGAAGCTATTCATAAAACATAATTTTAAAGTTATTAGTTCAGATAAGGAGTTGTTCAGAATGGTCCAAAGTAAGATGACTTTGAACAGCTGCAAAAGACTCTTTGAGAACTATTATACTGGCAAGTACCAATAAATGAGAAGTATTATGCATTGAAAGGATAGGAAGCAAGTTGGACAATATCAACCATAAATACACAGGCAGTGAGCTTTAATTTTAGCTACTGCTGGTCAAAGAAGAGGCCTTAGAGATACTAGTACCAGTTCTCTCTTTAAAAAAAAGTACTATTTTTAATATTAGGTAAAACTGGATGTTGAACATTAGGAAAGGAATCTAAGAACTTGAAAAGCTAATTTATTTATTTACTTGTAGTATATCTGCACTGCCTGCACATTACATTGTTTTCTTTTTCCACTTTCATCTCAAAGGATATAGTTGAAGTAGAGAAAGAACTAGAGAAAACTAGAGAAGACTGGTTACAGAGACTGAACTGATTTCATATAAAGAGAAAGTAAACTGCCCAGATTAGACAAATGAAGGGTATGCTGGTCTGCAAGTACAAAACTAGTATTTGTCATGTATATGGTAATTTTTAGATTAAGTGTTTTGGAGAAGAAAAACATACTCTGTGTTTTGAGTAAACTAAAGAATGAAAACATATTGTACCTTTGAATAATCCAAGTAACACCTCTGTAAATTTCCACTTCAGGAAATGAATATGGGTCAGCGCTGCTCAGATACAAGAGGTATTGTCTTCGAAGATGTGAGAGTCCCAAAAGAAAATGTGTTGATAGCTGAGGGAGCTGGCTTTAAAATCGCAATGGGAGCTTTTGATAAGACCAGACCACCTGTAAGTATCAGAAATAACTTGGTTATAAAATACATCGGGAATTTCTGATTTTTTATTCTGTGCTGTATTCAATTCAGGTAGCAGCTGGTGCTGTTGGATTAGCAAAGAGAGCCCTTGATGAGGCTACCAGATATGCTTTGGAGAGAAAAACGTTTGGGAAACCAATTGTTGAAGTAAGTGTGGGGGCAGAGAGAGAAAATACAATAAAAGCTTATGTTTTCACACCAGATGTACTGCTACTGATTTTTAAAGGTTATTCCTTGATTTTTATATTTCCTTAATTTTTATATCATATCTCTGCCATTTTGGGGTTTCCATGTATGTAGGTCAGCACCTTGTAAGTAAACTTAGCTATGTGGTAACTTCCAGAATTTTTTATAATTTATCAATGATGGTAGTAAAAGCAGAAAAAAAAACCTCTGCCCAAGACATCAAAACTTACATACTAGCTGGACATACTTAAGTTCTTCAGTGCTAATAAAGAGGGATTTTCAGGAAAGAAAAAATGAGGTACATGAAACAAGACACATAGTATTAACACTAACAGAATACATTGCCAATAGTGCTGGTTACGAGTTTTAAGGAAATCCAAATAAAAAGCAAGGTACATACCAATCTCATAAATAGGAAAGAACAACTTCATAATTCAGTATTTAATCCCTATGACTATGGGGATTTCAGAATCAAAATCTTAAAAATCTAATTGAACACAATTCTGAGAGCCTGTAGAACTCCTCTCATACAACTTACTGAGTTTGTTCAAAAAATCACTGTATTAGGAGATGATGTCTTTCTTGAATGTCCCAGAATTTTAAGTGGGCGATATTAACATGGTTTATTCTGTCCTAGCACCAAGCAGTGTCTTTCTTGCTTGCTGAAATGGCCATGAAAGTTGAACTCGCTAGGATGGCCTACCAGAGAGCTGCGTGGGAAGTTGATGCTGGTCGCAGGAATACCTACTATGCTTCCATTGCAAAGGCATTTGCTGGTGACATTGCAAACCAAGTAGCTGCAGATGCAGTACAGATTTTTGGAGGAAATGGATTTAATACTGAATATCCTGTAGAAAAACTAATGAGAGATGCTAAAATCTACCAGGTAAGTAAAAGAGGGAATGTGATAATGCATAGATTTTATATAATATAAACTAAGGGCTACTTACTTCAAATATGATGTACGCATATTAAAAAAAAAAAAAAAGCTTTTAGAATGAAAACAATAATCCCTAAATTTAAAGAAATTACATATTTTCTTCCTCAAATAAGAGGAATGTCATCATCTGTCAGTTTATTTTCATGAGAGCCCTACTGAGTTTAGATAAGAGCACCTGAGAGAACAAGTCTGTCTCTTGATTTATATTTCACTTACCCCAGTGTAATTGCTCTGTCACACTGGAATTCTCCCTGCTTTTTGTCTTCCTGCACATCCTAATCCACCTGGGATTAGTGCTGTGGAGATTTACGAGTACAGATCTGTTAAAACCTTTTAAAAAATCATCACTTAACATTATTGCAATTCTTCTTTTCAGATATATGAGGGAACTGCTCAAATTCAAAGGATGATCATAGCTCGTGAACATGTCGGCAAATTTAAGGCTTAAAGAAATGTATGAAGTGTGCCTGGCGCTGCTGTAGTGTTCTGTGTTCTCATGGAAAAGGATGTGTGTTTCTCAATAGAATTAAAAAGGAATGGAGAAGAACAAATTTTCTTCAACGTATTTTTATTCTGTCCATTATTAAGCACTGATTCTGTTTTCCCTGTCCAGTCCTTGACTTTATTCCTGACTGACAAAGCTGGTATTTTCTAAACATGCTGAAGTCCACAATGATTTGTTGTTCCTATACAAATGGGCAAGAAATGAGAACCTCACAATGCAGTTTTCTCGCAATAAAATAAGATGATCAGAATGTTATTTCTGACAGTCACTGCTGCATTCTAATAAAATATTTTTTAAGAGAACTGTGGTTGCTTTGTATTCATTTTGCTTGTTATATCACTTACACTGGACAACTTACCCACAATACAATTTCTGAAGTACCTTAATAGCTGTACTTCAGTTTCTCCTCTGCTCAGCAAGCAGCCGAACAGCCTTTCCAGTTGAGCAGCAGCGGGCCTGCCTTGCGTCTGTGCTGAGGATTTAGACACTATCCAGCAGTAACGGTATCACCTTGAGAATACCGGGCCTTTGGCGCCCCGGCACTCCAAAGCCCGGGAGCGCCGTGCGAGCGCCCCCTGAGCGCCCCCGGGCCCGGGGCCGTGACCGCGGCCGGGGCTGCGCAGGCGCGGCGGGCGGAGGCCCCGCCCCGCCCCTTCCGGCGCGGGCGGCGAACATGGTGGGTACGGGGGCACTGCGGGCGACACTGGCCTGGCCGGCGGGGACCGCCGGGCTCCAGGGAGGGACGCGAGTGGCGCCGGAGCCGCCCGGGGGGACGCGGGTCGCACTCGCTCCTCCGGATCCAGAGCGGCGCCGGGAGCGCCGGGCCCGGCCTGGCGGGGCGAAGGGCGGCAGCCCCGGGCCGAGCGCTCGGCGCCGGGCCCGGGAAAGGGTTCCTACGTCCAGTGCTTCAGGTTATTCCTGGCGAGTTCGTGTTTTGTCTCCGCTTCGTTGCTAGGTTTCGTTCCCAGCCTGTCCCAGGGAGGGATTTAACTGGGCTGAAAAGTGATCTGGCCTGGGCTCAAAATTACCAGAGAGATGTTTGTTTCCAGAGTCGCAGTCACCAGTGTTTACTAAATTATACCAAGGCGCTAAAACGTCTTGACCTGACAGTGCAACTGCCGTGTTGTTGGTGCTTTTTACAGGGGACACCGCAGAAGGATGTTACAATAAAACCCGATGCCCCAAGCACGTTACTTTCAGAGAAACACGCGGATTATATAGCTTCGTATGGAACAAAGAAGGATGATTATGTAGGTATCAATGTTTCAGTACAGTTGTGGATTTATTAACAGTAATAATAACCTTTATTTATTGGCTCCCATTTAATGGTGAGATGCATGCTGACAAACTAATAGTTTTTTACCCTGCAATCCAAAGTATAAAATAAAGATATCTTTGTTAATTTCTTCAGGTCTGTGATGAGTTTTGGCATGTATTATCTGAGTATAAATTTGAAGATTATCAGTTTAGCTCTAGAATTACTCTGAGACCTGAGAAACAAGCTATCGGTTGCTTCTTCATCCACTAGAATGCACAAGTAGAGCTGCATTTGCACGTTGCTCTTTTGATGGAACAACTTATTGCATCCCACCACAGCACTGCTTCGTGCTTATTAGACTTGATAAACACTTTACCTAACATCAATTTTATAGTCATACGTGATTGGTTGTAGCCCACAACAATAGGATTCCACTTCCAGCAGGTGAAAAATGTCAGCAACTGCTTATGTGGAGAAAAGTTGCAGTTACCTTTACTGTTTACAAAAGAACTCTAACCACTGTTGCTTATGATTGTTTTATTCTTGTGCTTAAAAAATACTGCATGTGGAAATTAATCTTTATGTGGTGTGGGTGAAGTAATCAGTGTAAGAGAATTCAATATAAAATTTTACTTTCCAGTGCAAGTTTAGATTGTGAGAGTTTTGGCTTGGAAATAAATTTCATTAAATGTTAGACTTGTTATGTTTTGAGACTAGTTGGGGTGGCAATTTGAGGGGTAGTTTGAATGCCAAGATAATAAGTGATGATCTGAAGTGAATTGGTGCCCAGCTACTCGTATGTGCTCAATTTGACGTAGAGCTTGATGCTTTGAACTAGATAAATACAGGGGAGGAAGAGAGTGTAGTATGTGTAGATGTGTAGATCTATACGTGTGCACGTGCCTCTGTGTGTGTGCATATACACATGTGCAGGATGCACAGAATGTCTGCGAGTGACTGACACATAGTCTGTTGGTAAATGGATGGAAGATGGTTGACTTACTAGAAACTGTTTGTAAATGTTAGCCAGTCTATTTTCATTGCTCTGTATGTATGGTGATCTGATCAAGAACTAAAATAATGCACTACTTAGGAATACTGTATGTCGGAGTATTTGAGAATGAGTGGTGTCTACTGGGGGCTGACAGCAATGGATCTCATGGGGCAGCTGCACCGAATGAACAAAGAGGAAATTCTGACATTCATCAAATCATGTCAACATGAATGTGGGGGAATAAGTGCCAGCATAGGTCATGATCCTCATCTTCTGTATACCCTCAGTGCTGTCCAGGTAAGTGTAGCAAGGTAATTTTAGAAAAAAGTGTTTGTGATTAATGATTTTAGTGATTGCAGATTTATGAACCAGTTGCTGTTGGAAACCAAGGGCAAAAATTACTTCAGTGCCTTACTAAAAAAAAAATCTAATGAACACAGCTTTAGGATTTAGCTGTATCACTTCCTAAAATTTGTTATATTCAGAAATGTTTTACTTTTAACAATTATTTAATGATTACTGTATACTTTTACCAATTTTTTAACAGTGTAACAAATGCTGTTAGCCCTGTCTACATATCTAGGATGTCTAAAGGGTCACATGTCTTCTTGTGATCATAGTTTATAGGAATTTGTTCAGATTTACTTTTTAGGGTGCATTACCTGTATTTTCATTTGAGAATTTCTCAGTTTTTAGACAGAGATAGATAAGCTAAATACAGCAGTTAACTACTAAAGTGAAAGAAAGTTTATTTTAATTAACCTTACCAAATAGTATTCACAGTCAATTAAATAAAGTCTTTTATAAATCCAGGGGAGGTTTTTTTGTTAAGAAATAAAGTTTTTGCCTCTCTTTGATTGTCACTGTGTCTTTTTTTTTCCCTCCAGATTCTTATTACTTTGTCTTTTTTTTCCCCTAGATTCTTATCTTATATGATAGTCTCCATGTTGTTGATGTAAATAAAATTGTTGAATATATACAGAGCTTGCAAAAAGAAGATGGATCGTTTGCTGGAGACGAATGGGGTAATATTTAAATCTTTAAACTATAGTGACTAGGTTGTCATGTAAGTCTGTAAACTTAAGTTTCCTTGGATAGTCTTTTTGCATATGTATTGTGTATGAACATTTTATTCTCCAAGTTATGAAAAAGAAGGGTTTGTGAAGGACAGAGTTGTGTTTCATTCCTTTCATAAATATTCTAAACTTTAGTTCCATTCTTGTATTAGGAATAAATTGTCCCATTCTTAAAGAAGAAAACTTTTGGGCATTTTTAACTTAACAGTACTTCAAGATACTGGATACGCTCTTCCATAAGAAATGTTTTATATTTGCTGTTTAATGGCAGACAGCAATGATCTTTATCCATGTCAGCTGTGAAAGGATCTTTCAGTACATGGGAGTGAGAAGAACTGGGTTTGTACTCATGGACTTCTGTTAATACTGATTTTGTTTCTGCATATAAATTCTTTAGGCACAAACGTGGCATTTTAAGCTCTAGCATAAGTACTTAGTCACTCTAAAAATACTTATCCCCATGGAAGACTTAAATTTTCATAAAATCTATTGCATATCCCTCATGTTCTTGTTCTGGTAAAATTCACCAAGGGAGATATTAGCAGTGTATGTATGCTACTGTAAAAGTAGATGATATGCTGTGTGTTCATAGTTTGCTGCATCCTTTTTGTTGAAGTATTGTCAGGAGTGTACTGAATGCACAATGGACTGACATTACTTCTGAAAGGCAGTTACAGTGCAACTGAAGGAGTGTGATCCCTGATGTAGGACACAGCACCACATTTGCTTTATGTGTTTCAGATTGTGGATTTCTTAAGAAGAAAAGTCTTGCATAGGTTAGATCAAAAAAATGACTGTTTGCAGCACAGTTCAATTTTAAATTGTGACTCCAAGTGTTAATTGCTCGGACTTTGTGCTCGGAGGGTTATATTGGTATAGACTTGCTGAGCAATCATTCTGTTATGGGTGCAGTGGCTTTGGTTTTGCTTCCAGGTATAAATATGCAAAAGAACACTTGCAACTTTAATCAGTTTTGCTCTAAAACCAGAATCGGCTTCTACTTCTGTCTGGATTTAAGGCACAGCAAGAATTGTGTCTGATTATTGTTGCATTATTTCCACTGCTCTGCAATTATCTTGTAGAGCACTACAGATAAACTGTAAAATGCTAGAGTTATTTGTAAATTACCACTAGTTGAATTGATTTGGATTTATATCTGTCCAGTTCTAAATGAGTTGTTGACTTTATGTGCAGTAAACATACAGGTCACTTGAATTGCCACGTACATTTTTTAAATTACTGCGGAAATAATTAATGAGCTGGAAACTGAAACAGTATGAGGGAAGTTTTTAGCTGATTTTGTTGTTCAGTGTAGAACTTAGTATTTTAACATTTAGTTCCATATTTTCAGTGGTGATTTAAATGTCTTTTTGTTTAAAAAATAATCTTATTTCATTTCCTACCTCCCACATTGTAGGAGAAATAGATACAAGGTTCTCCTTCTGTGCTGCAGCAACTCTTGCACTTCTGGTAAGTCCTAAACCATCACTTACACAAGTACAGAGTCTTCTCTTTGGTACTGCTGAAGTTTGTGTAGGTAATGAGTTTGGTAGAATATCAAGTGCATTAGTTATTTTCTGACTTGCAGGGAAAGCTGGATGCTATTGATGTGGGGAAAGCAGTAGAATTCGTTTTGTCCTGTATGAACTTTGATGGAGGATTTGGTTGTAGACCAGGTTCCGAATCACATGCAGGACAGGTGAGTTTTTCTTTATATGGAAATGTTTTAAATTAGCAAGCATCACACACTGCCTATAAATGTTTCTTTACAACATCTATCAGTGATGGCAATTGATGTACCTTTCTTGTTTCCCAAATGCCTTATTCTGATGAGTCAAGACACCAGAGGTTATAGTCTGGGTACAAAAAAGACTGTAAGGGAAAAACTTTTAGGACTGTATTTCAGTCTTTATGCAGAGATGTTGAAATAGTCAGCATGAGGATTTTTAGAGAATTTGAGGTGGGTTTCAGTAGAGACAGTGGACAAAATTTATCACTGTGTCTGACACAAATTAGAAGGAGACATAAAGGTCAATTGTATAATATGTTTGATATTTATCAGCTCATGAACCCAAATGAAAATGAGACGTCAAGCCTTGCTTAATTTTTTTGAGGAAAGTCAGTTTTAAGATGAGATACCTAACTCAGTAATGGGAAAACTTATCAACTAGAGTTGCTAGTGTGACGCACTTTTACAAGTGACTGGATTCTGAAAAATGCTGAGTAAAATCTACTTGAGAAGAGAATGCAGTAGTATAATTGGAACAAAT